AACACTCAAGTGTCTCTAAATTAGGACCAATCAAAAAATAATAAAATATATTTAATATAAAACAAATTTTAAATGATTTAAAAAGGAAATAATTGGTAAAATACACAACATGTATTGAAACACCAAATAAAAATCCTAAAAAAATATCAGAAGTCAAACATGAGTTAACAAGTGTTGAAAAAAAAATTAGAATTTTTTAAAGTCAGAAACTATTTTTAAAATATAAAGAAATAAGAAAAATAAACCAAAATTTGTGAAAAGTAGTAAAATCAAAAATAAAATGTGGTCACCAATATTTGTCAAGAGGTCATTGGATCCTTCCATATTTTTTTCAAAATTTAAAAATCAAGAAAAGTATTTTTAAACAATTAAAACAAATCAAATAAAGTGAAAAATCATTAAAAAAATATAAAATCACAAAATAAAATTGTGAAAAAAGAAAAATCAGAAAAAGAAAAATCAAAAGTATTTTTGATAATTTTTCACAATTTTAAAAGTTGAAATGATTTTTTTATGAATTTTTGAAGTTTAAAACAATTAAATCAAAAATCAGAAAATAAAAATAATATCAAAAAAATGTGGACCATTTGATCATTGTCAAAACGCGTTAGTAATCAAATCCAAGGGATCTGGCGCGCTGTGCATGTTATGGTCGTTACTGAATAAAGCACCAGAATATTAATTTAAAACAGACTTTGAAAAAATAGTGTGGCATCATGTCATTGGTTGAGAGATGACATGTCATCTTCTTCAACCTCCAGCCACGCGCGAATTGTGAGTCCTTCAATCTATAAAATTAGAAGCTTGGACTGGTGTCATTTGCTTGGTCTCATCAAGACGGTTCCAATGGTACCCTCGCGAAAAATTTATATTAAACACGGCTTAGTCGATTTGGAAAAAACCAGAAGGAAACAATTGAAAAGGATTTGAAAATTCATGAGCAAAACTCACTTCCAGTTAAAAACCAACGATGTTATGAGTATCAGAGTAATGAGAGCTACATTATATAGTAACAAGTTTGGAGAGAATTGATGGAGGAATCTACCTGTTGAAGCTCAACTTCAGAGCTCTGAAACTTGAATTGGCTAGCATGACTTAGAGCATTTCAAGGCTTGGTTCTTCTTTTGTTAGCTTCAGTGAAGTTCAAGGATGAAGAATGAACAAAGAAATTGGATTGAAAAAAAAAGGAAAGACTGAATTCGAAAACTCAGAATTATGAGCTATGGAGAGAGTTTGGCAGGGGTGATTTTGGCTGTTCAAGCTTGTTCAAATGAATGGAATAGCATACTCTATTTATAGGGAAGTGAATGATGATGAGAAATGAGAGGAATTGTGAGAAAATCGTGCAAGCTAAGCCAATTGTGATCATGTCAAACGTGTTACTTGGAATGCATCAAAATGACATCATACCAAGTGAAATTCTTATCAAAACGCATCTGGACAATTAGTTAAACATGTTTAGCAACTAAAATTTAAGTAATTCGACCTGTAATCCAAGTTACTCATGGTAAAAATTCTGACTCGAAGCAAAAAAATAGATTCCATGGAGCCAACTTCAACCATGCATAACTCACTACTCAGGGACCTTTATAATGCAATCTTTTATTCTTTAGAATGTTGAATGATCAATCTTGACAATATTCTTTGAAAGTTTTCATTTGTATGTTTGAGCAAAAAGTTATTCAACTTTAAAATCAAGAAAAACACACGGATTTTTGTACTGAAATATTTCTAAGTGTTGAACTTCAAAATGACCTATAGGGTTCTTCAAAGTCACATGCCCTTCCACTCAAAATTTGATCTTGATCCTTGAAGATGAAATGAAGTAGACCTCTTGAATTGAATTGTGGAATTGAGATCACTCAAAATTCATAAAAATTGAAAGAGTTATAGTCTTTGGATGATGATGAACAAATTTGGGGAAATTCACAAAAGACCTATAATATTTTCAATTCTTAATCAACTTTCCAAGAATTTTCAAGTCTTGCATATTGAAACAAAGTTGTAGTAGACATTCCAAAGATTATTGTGAAAAGGAATGAGCTCAATGAGATAAAAATTGACCAAGTTATGATCACTTGAAGTCAAACCCTAAGATTCAAAGGTTTTCAAAGGGACATGTAATCTTCTTCAACCATTAGTGATCTTCCATTCCAAATTATCCTTAAACCCTTGAAGAGAACTTGTTAAGGACCCTTTAAAGAGAATCATGGCCTTGGAATCAATACAAAGTCTCAAAAAATAAACAAGATATGGTCCTTAGAAGTCAGCAAACCCTAGCTCAGTGAGTGTCAAAATGATTTGTAACCCCTTTCAACTTTTGATGACTTTCCTTGCACAATTTGATCTTGTCATGTGAAGAGAAGTTGTTATAGATGATGATAAGAATCCATAGAAAGAAGAGTTAACTCAAAATATTGAAAATTAAGAGAATTGTGCATTTGTAATCACTAAATCAAGCATTTGCTCAATTGGGTCAAACTTGTTGAATCAACCTTGAATCTTTTGAACTTTCTTGGCAAAATAAAATATGATGGATCACATTAGACCTTAAAATGATGTTATCTTGAAGAACTCTCAAAGATGGAGTTTAATTCTCAATGAAACTTGTTGAAGAAGGCATGGAAATAAGCAAATGAACCCATGAATCTTCTTGATGAATGCCACCACCAACCTTGAGGAAAACTTGACCTAAATAAAGTGAGAGAGCTCTTTGAACCAAAGAAATTTGATATCATAGACATAGTCTTGAAGCTTAAGCTCTTGCAATCATTTGAAGAACCATTTGGCTGAGGATCATCCTTCAAAACCCTAGGTTTGATGGTGAGATGAATGCAGTTGTGTCATCACCTACAATATGAACATTCAAAGAAACATATGTACATATCTTGATGTTAGTTAAAAGAACATATGTTCAAGATACACAATTCAAGGTATTTGATGATTCCTCAAGAGAAAAATTAAAGATAGGATGAAGTAGAAAGGGAAAATCAACCCTAATGCGTGATCTTGATGTATTGATAATATGAGATGATAAGATATCTTAGGGGAAAATTTTGGGGTATAACAGAACTGGCAGGAGGATTTCTGGAAGCTCCTCGTTGGAGTTGTTGGACCTCTGATTATCCAAGAAGTGGAGGCAATCGCGTTCAACATTGATCGAATCTGGGACGCGGTTCAGCCATCTCTGACATCGGGGACATCCTCTAGATGAGGATTCTCTTGGCTCCCGTCTGTTTTGTGGGTGGGAGAGAGTATAGTCTTTCCAGAAAGGTGGTGGTCATCATGGCCGGCCATGATAGAAACAATGAAAGTGTCTTTGGTCTTCGGTTTTGAGGAAAAGGAAGACGGGGAATATAGTTTTTTACAGACGGCGTCATTGATCTTACCGGTTGATCAGAACCTGAAAATGGATCGAAATATGATGACGTTTTCTTTCCTGGAAATATGAGGAGAGGAAGGGATGTACCTGCAAGGCACTCTGATGATCTAGTGAGAAAGAGTGCAAAGAGATACAAGAAAGAGATTAGGGTTTCTTATAATGAATATATGATCCCTGGTCCTCACAAGTGTGAGGGTTTATATAATGTCCCCGACGCGTAGTCATTGGTTCATATTTTTGGACCTAGATACTAGGTGCCTTAAAAATATGTAACTGTCCGGACTTGGTCAAAACGGGCAATCGTACCCGTAACTAGTCGTTGCTCCGAGCAAGGGTGAGATGACGGGCAGACGCGTTGTGAGCATCTTCCTGGTTGTCTGCTCGACAAGTAGCAAGCAAACTTGAAATTGAACGTTGATGCGGGAAGGCGCATGGTCAGGACATCGTTATCCTTGATATTCTCATGGTATGGTGGACCAAGTGTGCTCGACCGGAGATCCGAGTTAGTGGACCAAAAGTGTTTAGGTCATACTGAGATAGAAGCGGATTGGACCAATTCTAGTCATTGGGTCAATCTAGAAAGAAAAAAAGTTTAGATTTTTCAACTTGATCTCTAACAATATTACCTTGATTTAAGTAATGAGATTTTATCAAAAAATAATTTTGGCTTTTTCAACTTGATCTCTAACAATATTACCTTGATTTAAGTAGTGAGATTTTATCCAAAAAAAAAATTGATTTTTTCAACTTGATCTCTAACAATATTACCTTGATTTAAGTAGTGAGATTTTATCAAAAAATAATTTTGGTTTTTTCAACTTGATCTCTAACAAATTTAATAAGTAGAATTCCTAGTAGTGCATGTATAAAAGAAAACACCATTTAGAATTTGTCTAAGAATGGTAAAAATGGATGGTGGTAGTGATGAATTAGAGTAACTTGACAATCGAACTTAGCCTTCTGTGAGCTTGCTTTGTCAATAGTTCAACATGAATGGGTTTGAATGGAGAATAAGAAAAATGAGGAAAAAAATATGCTCAAAACCCAGTATACAAGTTTTATGTCTTGCTCGCTCGCATAAGAGAGAGAATGATTTCGCACATACGAGACAAGATAAATCAACATATTTTCTCATACTTTCGCATGTGTGAAGTTTGAATATTGGAACAACTTGGTCACGGGTTTCAAATTATATTTATAGGATTTGGATAATAATTTGATTCATAAGAAAACAATGTTATTTCTCATATCTAGTAAAGTGGTGGTTTGAGGGATGTTGATCAAGGTGGTGGTGAAGAAATAACCTTTTTCTTCCATGTTTTTTTTGTTGATTATTATGTGGGGTCCAACTTATTCCTTGTGCAACAAACAAGGTTATTTTAGTCTTACTACCTCTTTTTTTTCTTACAAATACCAATCATGAAGAATAACAAAATAAAAAATGTTTAAAAATTGGTGAGAGGAATCATATCTTATTTTATTTTATTCTTCTCCTGCAAAAGTACTAATCCTAACCGTTTTTGACCCCAATTTTCTCTTTCTTTCACAATTCAGAAAATGCAAAACCGTTTTGTATATAAACCATTAGTTTGTTATTGATCCATCATTTTCAGTAGTCATGGAAAACCCTTCAGAAATGGGTAACAGAAAACGTGCTCGAGAATTGGGTGCTACTACAAAACCCGAAGAAGTTCTTCAAGTTGAACGTGAACGAAGGAAGAAAATGTCTCAAATGTTCACTCACCTTGCTACCACTGTCCCTGCTCTTCATCCTACAGTTAAGATCGTTCATCCCTTTTCTTCATATTCTTTCAGTTTTTCAAAGTTGATTTCTGAAATGGGTTTTTGTTTTTGTGGTTTTTAAGGCTACTAAGGAAATGATTATAAACGAAACAATTGCGTACATTAAGGAACTCGAGAGCAAGAAGAAAATGTTAGAGGAGATTAAGGAATCCAACGAGTTTCCGGTGGTTGAAGGGAGTTTCAATTTGTTGGTTCCGTGTCGGAACAGAAATTGCTCTGTTTCTGTTACGGTTTCTTCTAACAATGTAGCTTTCTTTGGGATTGAATCTGTGGCGAAACGTGGTTTGGTTACTGTGATTTTTGAGGTGTTTTTTAAGAACCAAATGGAGATTTTAGGGGCGAATGTTTCTGTTAATGATGGAAATTTGAGATTGGCGATTACTGCCTTGGTTCAAAACAATGGGCGGATTGAGAAGATTAAGACAGAGATTATGGGTTTGTAGGTTGAATTAATGAATCATTACTTTCACATTTTGTTTATTTAGGAATTTATAAAGTATGATTAGAAATTAATCATCTATGTGATTGATATTACAGATTCAAGACCATGTATTGAGTTATAACATTGGTGTTTGGTATACGTGTATTGGATATTGATAGTGATGAATGTTTTGAGCAAACTAATTAATTGGTGTTGAAATGGGTTTTATTGTTCTTGGTCGAGAATTAGGAGACCAATTTTGATTGCTTTTGACTATAGAAAGAAAGTATCAAAGTTGGTTAGAGAAAGAAGAAAGACGCGCTTCATTATCCCAATCGTTGCATGCAATGGGGTGGGGATGGATGGACCACATAGACGTAACATCTCATGTTGTTGTTCATTTTTTATTCTAATTATGCTTACCCAGCATTGCAAAGATTTATCATAAAATGCAGAAAATTCTGGACAGGGAATGTGTTTTCAAGTTTTTGGTGTGAAAATTTGAGTCATATAAAATAGTTAAGTGCTTCTTCCTTCTACCTATTATTCTTGCATTTCGTACCAATAAGCAATATATTCAGAAAAAGTACCTCCTCGGAAAAAATAATTAAAGAAAAATACTTATTAATAAAGAAATATGAAAGTAAAAAAAAAAAATCAATCATTTATTAATACCACTATTCGTGATTCTTATTGAAAAGAAATTAAATTTAAAATAAATTTAAAATTATCTGCTAAAATAATGACTAATATATATTTTTTTTTGTCTTTCTTGTTCAAATAATTCTTACCGTATAACATTTCTCATAATTAAAACTAAGAATAAAATATTTCTATTAATGATGAAAAAAATTCAACCAAACTTATGAAAAAAAATCATTTTTGTTCTTTATATGTTATTTAATCATTATTTATATCAAAAAGTATGTATTTTTCCTCTGTCTCATAAAAATTGTTTCATTTGTATTTTTTCTGATCGTACCTGACCGGAATGGATCGTCACAGCTTACTTCGAGCAGTACTTGAGAGTGAGGTGGGGATACCTGCAAGACACTCTGATGCCAAAATTAGATACGGAATGGTGCGAGCAAGTAAGTGAGTGAGAAATGTTCAATCCTGACCCTCTCGAGAGAGGGTATTTATAGCTCGCAGCACTGGGCCAAGGTCTCCTCATTGGGTTGGTCAAGCAGGTCCAAAGTGGAGACTGTTAGGTCCTACATGAGTAGTGGGGACCAGCACGTGGTCCCCCACTTGGATGACTTCCTCTACAAGATCAGGAGGATATGAATGCGGTCTTTCCGGGGCCACGAAGACTCTGGAAACGTTGATAGTCAATCCTACGAGGAAGATGCTCGTGAGGTGCTTCTGCTCGTCATGAATGCTCCCCGCCAGACGCGAGGTCGTGTGAGGAGATCAGTCTTGGTCACGGAGAGGATCAGAAGATGACCTCGAGGTCCTCCTGACTGGCGATGATCTTCCTAAGACTAACTGGGTTTATTCTCGTGCAATGAGGTTGCCTCCTTGCGGGGAGTGAAAGTTGTTTCCCAACATAGTCAAGGGCATAACTAGCCAGTATGCCTTGACCAACATAATTGGGTTGGGCCTCACATGGAATTGGGTCAAGGGAAGGCCCAGTTCAGAACAGGAGCCCTCCAAGTCGTTGCTCCTGATGAAGGAGTTATGACTTAAGTCCAGCTTTTTCTTTTACGAGGTGCGTTACTCGACGAGGATCATTCATTGTGTTGACGGAGAAAGTCGTCGATATATGGGTTTACCCGAGCAGCGTTCGAAATGGACTCGAGATGGGATCACTCTAGTCGCGGGGAGGAGAAAGCTTGTGTGGTGTAGGCACGTGGCATGACCTTTGGGATTATAACGATGGCCTAGGGAGTAGGGGTCATCATTAGCCGAGCGTGTAGGTGTCAAGGAGAAAGGTGGTTGTTAAACTTCCCAACGCAATGTTTTGCATTCACGTCAGCTCTATATATAGTGCCCCAAGGCCCATTATTCACGTTTACACTCTCGCGCTCTTCACTCTCCCTATCGTCAACGTTGTGCCATTTCCTTCAACTGCTAACACCGCCGTAGAATCCGCCGTGTGTACTTCTTCTACCTTCGTTATTCTTCATCTACTCTTGTCCAAGTAAGTATTTTTCGTGATACTCTTTGTTTAGATTGGCTTCGATGATGTTTTAGTTGTAGAATTTTACAACTGGGGGGTTTTGCTCGGGAAATTCATGCATTCATGCGTACTATTCGTGATTGAGCCCGTGATATTCATCTTTTCACCGGCACTTAGATGAATTTACCCTGTAGTCTCCATATATCCCCGCGAAATTCATGAATTTTGCACAAGAAATTTATGCGATCCCCGGCAAATTAATGAGTTTGGCCGGAAAATTTGTACTTTTCTCATTGTATTCTTCCTGTGCTCTGGGTATTCATGAAAACGAGTGTTCGTCGTTATAACCGATGTATGGTCTTATAAGACTGACATGACTTTTGTGCCCTGACTGAGGGCCGTGTATTTCCCCTTCTGCACGAGTGACTGTCGACTTGGTTTGGGCGCCGCATAACCTTTTCACCTGCGTCGTGGAAGGATGGATTTGGATTTGATGTCGAATTCACCGGTTTCCTTTGCTTTACAGGTAAAATGGTCGACACTCCTGAATCGTCCGAGCACATGGACACCGAAGAGACCAGTGTAGTCGAGGAGGGCGTCAACTTGGTTGACACGGTTGACGATCCTGCATTGATTTGGGTCGGGGCAGAGCCTCGAGGAATAGCCTCGATATACAGTTATAGTAGGAGGTAGGCTTATACTGTCGTCGAGCATGGTGGCGATCAGGAAGGTTTCCAAAGGAACTTCGCGATCTTGCAACCGACGCCAACACTCGAATAAGCTCGGAGTTTGAGGAAGACCGTTTCCCCGTGTACGAGGTTGTTTTCAGAGACTTGGGGCTTCGTCTTCCCTTCAATGATTTCCATATGGGGGTGTTTAATCACTTGAACCTAGTGCCCTCTCAGCTTCACCCCAACGCCATTGCCTTTATCCGAGCATTTGAGATTACTTGTCGGTTCCTGAGGATTGGGGCGACCATTCCCCTGTTCTTCGTGGTTTTTCATCTACAACGACAGTCCCGGGGTGGGAAACACAACTAGGTCTCCCTCAAACGGTTGAAGAGACTGTTCAGGATGTACATGGACTCTCTGTCCGCGACTTCAAACACATATGGTATATCGTGTGTCCTACTTCTCAGGCTACCGTGGACGCCATGTTCGATCTGGCTCCCATTGTGGATGAAGATGGTGAACTGTGATATGATGTGAATGGAGAGCAGAAGATGGGGCGACTCTCGAAGTTTCCCATCCATTGGTGTTCGGGAAATTACGATCAGGGTCCTGGGAATTACCATACTCCCGTCGGCGACATGAGCACTGAGGATGAAGAGGCCTATGGTGTCCTTAACCGGTTCGTTGACAGGTTCTTTCCTGCCAGATGGGTCACGAGGGAAGGACATGACATCCTCAATGAAGATGGTGAGCCGATGTTCGAAGCGCGCCTGATTAACACCAAGGCACTCGTCGAGTGTCGTTCTTACGGACAAGCCGTGAATTTCTTAGGTTTCTGCTTGCTTGATTTTACTATATTTTTACTTCTTGACTTCTTTTGTTTTCCCATCGAGGCTGACCCAAGGATGCCGTTTTTGTTTTTGCAGGTAACATGGCGGAGCACCGTGAGAGATTGTTGAAACTGACCCAAGAGAAAAAAGAGACATAAGAGGTTACTGAAGCCGCACCAGGCTACACGCATGGGTTCAGTTTTCGAACTGGACAAGGAGGGATCAAGTGGGTCGTCGGGAATTTGTGATGCTGATCAGCAAGCTGCTGTTTTGAGCAAGAAAAGGAATCTCCCCGAAGGTGGGGTCGCTGATGTGACTTGGGGAGGGGAGACTGCCTGAGCCTTCAACCTCCCGCCTTGTTTCATGGAGAAGGATTTCTTCGAGGGCTTCCCTCTGACTGTATCCGACAATGAGTCTGACATCATAAGGAGACTCGACGAAGAGGGTCGAAGGAAGCATCTGGCTTCCAGTATGGTGGGGATAATGAAGGTGGCAGAAATGGTTGTGGTCCTTCCGGGCAAAGGGGCCAGCTCCTCTGGTCGGGTCAAGGAACTGTAGTCGGAGAAAGCGACTCTTCAGGCGAAGACATAGAAGTTGAAGACCACCCTCGAACAAAGCGAGGAGATGTTCCGGGAGCAGGATGATGCACTGGTGGGGGAGAAAGAGAGAGCTAAAAAAACCCTCGAGGAAAAGGATTGTCTCCTGCTCGACAAAGAACTGTGGAAGAGCGAAAGGGAACGACTGGAGAGCGAAGTCACTGACCTGAAGGCTGCCATGATTCCCGTGGAGGCCGAACCCGAGGGAGTAACTGATTTGCGCATCACGCCGATTTCGTTGCTCGGATTCAAATCCTCGAGTCGGACTGTGTTGATGCTTTGGCCGACGGCTTTGAGGCTTCCGTGAACCTGCTATCCGTGTTGAATCTGGGACTCAACACTGAAGGAACCGGGGTTCTCTCCCAGGTGATTGACGGTCGGGTGGTTCCTCCTCCTGACTCTCTTGAGGTCGAAGTGGGCACTCTGAGGAGTGATTAGCATTTTTTAGGTAACTTAGCTATTTGTATTTGGGCCTACGTGCCCGTGATTTTTTTTAACATTCAGACATCGTCGGCTCTAGCGGTCGACATTTATAAATGCTTTACTTCGCTTCAATGCCCTTATGTTTTAGCTGATACTTGCCTATTTTTTTCTTGTCGCTATTTTTGACTTATTTATTCCATGAATATTTGTAAGTTCCACGTGTGGAGATGTATGCTCGACCTTTGTTGTGGTCGATGCAAGTTTGTTTTTTCCATGTGCGGAGATGTATGCTCGACCCTCATATTGTTCGGCATATGTTGGGATGTGTCTAGGAGGCGGAGTAGGGATGCACGGAATGAGTGTAAGATCTCGGTCGTGAT